CTTTTGCTGTGTCCGCTGTCCAGATTGCTTCCTTCAGCGGTCATCAATGCTTACTCATGCCAGTCGTACCCATGGTGGCTCAAGCCTAGCTACCAATGACAAGTACCATGCTGGGGCAGTCCAGACTCTCTTCTCTCCCCTTCCGGTGAAATACTTTGAGGTTGATTTGCAGTATGCCAAGTATCCGATGGAGTCTGCCTTTGATATCTTCATGCGAGAAGAGTACCCGACAGTCCACCGTCAAGTCATTACACCAGTCAGTGGTGAACAGGAGGTACCTCTACTACTCAAGATGACTCAGTGGCATACACATGTGGCTCCATGGACTCAGGATGTGGCACAGTGCCACAGTCTGTGTGAACTGGTAAAGCTGCCTACAGGACTCCACAGCTCAGGGATTGGGCACTTGAGTAATGTTGTTTTCAATTACATGAAAACAATATGTGGTCTTGCAAGGAAGTCTCCACTTGGTGTTCGCTGCCTTCTGATGGAGTGTCCTCGGTGAGTCATGACATTGCATTGCATAATGAAGTATCTCACCTTTTGGTAGGACTTCAACTCACACAACACCCTGGAAGTATCATGACTCAGATACAACACTGCGCAAGTACTCAGTGCCTCTGCGCTCCTTTGCCCAAGCAATATTACTCTCACTGCAGAGCCACAAGTCAGGGTATACTTTTCCCTTGGGCGAGGAGGATATAGAGAGAGCCCATCACTTGCAGGATAGCCTTGACACTCCTACAGATGATGGTGTGACAGTCTTCCATGAGTTCATCTATCCCTTCCTGTCCCGCAGCATCGATTCCACTTCTGACAACAAATGGTCCTCTGCACTGGAGTGTTTCTTAGCTGTCTACTCGCTTCTCCCAGATGGCATTCACAAGAGAGCATCAGATATGACTCAGCCATTAGCCATGTTTGAGTATCACTGCCGTGGAGCTACCCTCTATGAGGCACATAGGCAGCAGTCGGAGTTTGGTAATGACTTGTTCAAGTGAGTTGGGCTATATTGCTGTGTATCACGCATGACTTATACTTTATAGATCGGTTACACACTACTGCTTGGATAATCTGCATCCTGGGACTCTAACTCCATTCACCACCCTCGTTGACTACCAGCGCTTCATCTCCTCGCTTGCTTACTCTGAGACAAATGCCCCAAGCATCACCATCTCAGACGATGCCACAAGGTTTGCATATAAAGGCAAGCTTTTACAGCTGGGAGACCTGACTCGTGGTGTCCGACGCCTCTTTGAAGACACACAAAAGAACATGTCTGCCCTGTTCCGTGGTCAGGTGGTCCATCTTGAAATCCCTGATCACGTTCCAGATGACATGACGAATATCGAGCGCGACTATAGCTGGCTGAACAATGGAGTCTTTACAGAACCTGGCATACTCTGGAAGATTCTGACAGAGGACAAGACACTCCGTCTCTGCCCTGTTGACCCATCTGGTTCACTGATGTGGAATCCTGGAGCGATGAATGAGGTAATGGAGGCTTGTGGTCGAATCAACAAGTCTTTAGCTGTTCTCTGCCATGTTCTTGCTGGCCAGCCTGCTCGTGCGACAGAGTTTGTGGATTTGAAGATCCGCAACTCAACTTCACCTCGTGGATTGTTTAGGGACTTCCAGGACTTGATTTTTGTGCGACGCAGGGTCAAGACAGAGTCACAAACTGGGAAAGAGTCTTTCATTCCCAACTATCTTCCGCCAGAGCTCCAGAAGCTCATAGAGCAGTATCTGCTGATTATCCGACCAGTGGAAGAGCACTTTGCTCGTAAACTATGGGGTGACAAGGTGAATACACTCTATCGTGAGTTCATGTGGGTTCAGATGGGTAGGCAGATGACAAGTGAGAACTTCTCATCTACTCTGGAGCACTACTCGACAGAGTACTTTGACTGTCCTCTGGGGATTCTTGCCTATCGCCAACTTGTCGTTGCTATAGCTCGGACGTATCTTGGGTCAGAGTATGAGCTGGACAGAGAGGATGAAGACTCTCTGGCAGCTCAAACAGGTCACTCAGTAGAGATGCGCCAACTGCACTATGCCCCAGAAGTCTCTCGCTTGCGATCTCTGACTAGTGATACTCTGCTGCGGTACAAGCATGCTTCTGAGGCTTGGTGGAAGCTCATGCAGTTCTATCCTGGGGCTGCCCCACTGCTTCCCATCACCATCCGTCGAAGAACGCGAGTCCAGGTTGGTCAGTCTAGTACACCTGGCCCTGAGGCATCCACTACTTCTCCAAGTGTTCCTCCGCACCATGTTTCTGGTGGACCTGATATTCTAGCAGCAATTCAACAACTAGAGGCTGGATTTACAGCAAGTGTGGCACAAATGCAGCAGAGTTTCCAAGCTGAGATATCTGGCCTGAAGCGAGATATGGATCAGCACATCACCCTTGCTGTTGGCAGAGGTATTGCTGAGTATATGGCTCGACAAGGTAGTTCTGCTGTTGCTGCAGTGGATCCAGAGCCTATGGTAATGGAGCCAGGGTCTATGATGGTGGAGACAGGGCCAGAGCCCATGACAGTGGACTCTGCTCAACCTGTGCAACAGAGACTGGACATTGAAGACCTGTATGCAAGTCCTTCACCTCACTCCCCATTGATTTCATTACCCTTTCCATTTCCAACACATTCTACTCCCACTGGTAGTCCTGCGTCTATGGGTCTAGGTCTCGAGACTCAGTCATCCTTTGCTCCACCATCTGCCATCCAGCCTGGCCCTGCTTTTCTAGCACTTTCTGGACTCCGACAGCTCTATGGTCCTGATGCAAAGTGGCGATCAGAGACACAGAAGGAGATTGCCGTTGCAGCGCTTTCCAATGAAGCCACCTTTGTGGGTATCCTTGCAACAGGTGGTGGTAAAAGCGTTGCCTGGCTTATCCCTGCTGTCGTGGAGCCTGCTTTCAAGAGTATTGTGATTATTCCCAACAGATCATTACTTGAAGACATGGTACGGAAGACCAGGGCCTTGGGAATATTGTGTCGACAGTGGCTCTCAAGTGATCCGATCCACTGTGATTGTCCAGTTATATACCTGGCATTAGAAACAGCTGTTGGTGAGAAGTTCAAGCAGTATGTGTTCATCAGATTCTATTCTATACTTGTATAGCTCACATTTTATAAGG